ACGAAAAATATATATATATACAATGACCGCTAGTCTGCAAGCCTCTAAGAGTGTAAGACAATCAACAGGGCGAGACAAAGCCCCCGACATGCCCAAAACCACACATATGCATCTGTAATAGTACCTATGGACTCAAAGTCAGCAACTCCGAAGAAGTGGAGTGCGAAACCCAACGCTGATCCCGGGGGTCCTACTGAGTAGGAACGCCGCTCTGTCTATCCGAACCTGTGGGCATGAACACAGTGCATAAAAATGCATCAGTACGAAATATGTACTAAATATGTAGGGCGACAAGTGTAACATGAAAAATGTAATTAACAAGAGAAGAGACATAGAGACAATTTGAATTCTGAAACTAGCCTCGGTAGGAAACTAAAATTCAACAGGGATATAAATGTATGCTTGTGAAATCGTCGTTCACTATCGCTACTTATAATATATCACATTATATAATAATAAATCCCTTTGTGGGGTTATAATATCCATAACACACCCGGCCATAATAAAGGCTCGGTAGAATCGTACCCGACCACGTGAAGCTTGGTAATCCCAACTGATCAGTGGTTACACAATATGTGTCATACCCGACCATCTATAGTGCGGCTCGGTAATGAAAGTAAATACATACATATACTAAATCATGAATTATATAGGTGCAATGCGAAACCAACATTAAAAGACGTATTCTAAGAAGAGTCGAAGTGGCCTATCATCATTATTCCTCGACTATCATGGTTGTGGCTAAAAATATTTAATTTTCAACTACGAGCCAACAAGTACTAAGAACATGAGAGTTATGTATTATGAGTACCTTTGAAGTAAATGTTACTTATTCATGATTTATATGAACGTCGAAAGGAGAACGAGTAAAAAGGCTCTAGTTCTTTTTTAAACAAGGAACAAGGAAAACCGAGAATTCATATATATTCTCTGAAGTAAGCAATCTATGAGAAAGGACCAGGTCTAAGCATCTTTATAAGTTGAAGGTGAAATAACTCGAATCCGACGAAACAATTCGATAAACATTTGTTCGAATTCTAGTCATGCCAAAAAGTATAGAGAAAGCCCTACATACCTTGTCGATGGAGTTATATACTGTTTCCAAGACCTCAAAAGCCTTAGGAATGATTTTCTACATAATACAAACCATTCAAAATCAAATTCAAGCTCATAGCTTATATATTTCTTCATTTAGACATTTGCGCGAACAACTTGTGGCCATGAATTTGTAGACTCTTTTGTAGATTAATTTCCCCCCAACACACCACCAAATTTTACTTTACTACATCTCCTCATCAACAGAATTCCATCCATGTCTTCACAGATCCAAACAACACAATAAAACCATATAGAACAGCCCCAACAATCAAGCCATATTAAGAGAGGTTTTTTAACAAAATCAAGAACATTTCTATAGAGGTTTCAACTATTTCTTAGGAATTCTTATGGTAGAAGTTTACAAAGATCAAAGAGGAAGTTAAATAATACCTTATGTGACCAGAATTACTCAAAATTCGAAATTTCTTCAAGGCGGAGTTTTGCTATGAAAAGTGAAACACCGAAGAATTCACGATTCCGAAGCTACCATTGTGTTCTCCATCTTGAGGATGACTAAATTGTTGTTATGATTGGCTAGATGGATGGGAGTTTGAGATGAAATCCCTAGGTGTTAGGTTCTGTTTTGGAGAGGAAAAAAACGCAGGGGTTCTATTTTAAAAATTGACTTAAATAAAGAAATTTTAACAAACCCGACTAGGTACACTGTTCCCGTAACAGTGTGTACCCCTGTACGAAAATGTTAATAGCTCTCTACTCCGAAGTCGTATTAATGAACGGTTTGTTGCGTTGGAAACTAGACTCATAGACCTTAGATTCAGTAGGTAGAACACACCATAACTTCCAGTATATTGAGAGAAAAGCTCATCAATATTTTATCCAAATTCCAGTGAAATTTAAACCTGTAACTTGCGCGCGATCTTTGTCGAATTTTTAATCACAACTCAAATGACTTCCAATCTTAACGTATAACTATCCCATCATTTAAATATCTCATAGAAATTATCTTCCTATCGAATTAGCCCATTTACAGCATGATAACGCCGAATACACAAGGTGTAACATTCTTCCCTTCTTAAGAACATTCGTCCTCGAATGTTAACGGTTAACCTAACTTCTGAATTTTTTTTTTAAAAAACTTTTCGCCAGAGTTTTCCCTATAAATAGGAATATCCAAAACTTGTCATCAGCCCAAACATACATATCTAAAGCCACACAGGGCTACACATCATAATAATAACATCAACTTGGCCTCACACGACCATTTACTTATACAATAATGATAATAAGAAGGTTAGCCATAACTTAATTACCTTAACTGTCACTGGTTGATATATGTGCAACACCTGCCATATTTGTCTCAAGCATATCACCTGAAGACTCAAATAAATGAGGGTATCTGGACTTCATGTCCTCCTCGGCCTCCCATGTCATTTCCTCTACATTATTGCTCCTCCAAAGTACTTTTACTGAGGCTACCTCTTTAGTCCGTAGCTTACGGATTTGACGGTCAAGAATGGCAATAGGTATTTCTTCATATGACAAGTTCTCGGAAACTTCAATATCCTCAATAGGGTTGATGCAAGAAGGATCACCTAAGAATTTCCGAAGCATGGAAATGTGAAATACCGGATGGATTGCTTCTAATTCTGGTGGCAGGTCAAGTTTGTAGGTTACTCGCTCAATTCTCTGAACAATCTAATATGGCCCAACATATCTAGGGATGAGTTTTCCTTTCTTACCAAATCTCATTACACCCTTCATAGGCGACACTTTCAAGAATACCCAGTCTCCCACAATAAATTCCAAGTCTCGACGTCGGTTATCTGAATATGATTTCTGTCGACTTTGAGCTATACGCAACCTTTCCTAGATCAACTTTACCTTTTCTATAGCTTGTTGTACCAATTCAAGTACTAGCAACTTTGTCTCGCCAACATCAAACCAGCCAATAGGAGATCTGCATTTCCTCTCATATAGTGCCTCATAAGGTGCCATCTGAATACCGGCGTGATAACTGTTATTGTAGGCAAACTCAATAAGTGGTAAATGATCTTCCCAACTTCCCTTGAAGTCTAAGACACAAGCTCACAACATATCTTCGAGTGTCTGAATAGTGCGTTCGGCTTGTCCGTCGATCTACGAATGAAATGTTGTACTAAGGTTAACAAGAGTACCCAAACCTTCTTGAAAAGACCTCCAGAAATT